GGAGTTAAACAAACCTGAGTCTCTCTCTGGCCACTTATGAGCTTCCTGTAGGAGTGATAAACAAATTCTACACCTATTCTTGTGGTCAGGATGCTGGGTTTTGTTTATTTGTTAATTAAATAATTTTATTAACATTTAGTACCTGCCAAACACCATATTATACCTTACAGTGCCCAATATAGCTTCTAGAAAATCACAGGTACTCCAAAAACAGTGACTGTTATTGTTAATGAATAGATTTAAACACCACAAAGTCAAACACATATGTGGGCCCCCACCCACTGTTTGCCAAGTATTTTGCTGGTACAGTGAATATAAAAATGCAGTCCCTGCCTTCAAGGAGCTTACAATGAAGAGGGACAAACAGATGCAGATAATTAAAAGACAGTGTAATAAACACAATAGCAAAAAATATGCAGAGTGCATAGGAACACACAGTAAAAGCTGCAGGAGGGGGAATAAAGTTAGAGACTACTTCCCAGAAAGTCTGACAAGGAATTTCCTTCCAGCTTCTACTCTGAAAACTTCATAATCAATTTCAAAAAGAAGGGAGAAAATAAAAAAGAGGAAAAGACAACTGTAGGTTGGCACAGGAAGGATTTAAGTATCCTGTTAGTCCCCCACAAAAGCTTAAAAATTGAAATCACATTTTTCCATATCTGTCTTATACTCATGATAAAGACTGGGTGTTTTACAAGTTATATATCACCCCTGTTTTAAGCTGTGTGTAGGATCAATAACCAAAGCTATCAATCCAGTATGTCATTTCTTCTATACCAGCCAAATGGTGCCTGCCTAGTTTATCTGCTTATTCCAACTGGGCTAACAAGGTATCCAAAACCTTGAATACTATATAAACTTTTGTAAATTTTCTCTACTAACCACACTTATTCAAGATTTATTCACTTAATAAATAACTACAATACTGACATTCAAAAAAATGAAAATTTGGCTCCTGCTCCTAAAATAAACCTCTGTGGGAAAGTCACACATCCAACAGCTACAAGTATAAATGAAGAGTCATGGGAACAGAGAGACTACTATTTGTATCCTTTCATGGATATCTCGCTTCACACTGGACACAATAATCCTGTGAAATAATAGGATTATCTCTATTTTTTTACCAGTTTGCTCCATTAACAGGTCAACATATAAAACCTGGATCTTCTGACCCTTAATTGTACCACACTCTAAAACGTATGTTAAATTTATCAATATCATAAATAAACAAAATCACAAGAAGTACTTCAAAGACCTTAATACACACAGGAAGGAAACCTCTAGAACAGTTTCCTCATCTATGAAATAAGGTTGGACTAGATCACAAATGGTTAAATAAGTAGCACTCCAGGAATCACTCATCAATGCCACTATCTAGGACCAACCAAACATTACAAATGAATCACGGCACTCTTTCTCACCAAGCCCAGAAATGTATCAATGACCTTATCAACACAGCAACCACTACCAATTTTAGCACAGAAGCAAAATGTAACCTAGTTGACATCCTTGAACTAAACATAAGGTCCAGAGAAGAAGCAAACTGCCCAAAAGTTTTACCCAACTAGCCTGAAATAAAACTAGGTCTCTAAACAAGAGGAGTAAAATACTTCTATAACACCTACAAAATATACAAAAAGCACCTTCTCTTCTATTATCACGTGATCCTCACTACCCAAAAAAGAATTATCCCGATTTTTACATATTTGCTTTAAAATACAGTACATCAGTGAAATAATGTGACTAGCACAAGGTCACCCAGCTAGTAAGTGGCTTGGCCAAATCTTCACAACCCTATTACACCTTCCTATATGAGAAAGTCACAGTTGCTCATGGAAGTCTGGACTATTTAATATGGACCAAATAATGTCAATACAAAACCTTCTCAGCTCTTCCCAGCCATGAGGCTACAGGTAACTATTTTAGATCAGACAAGATTCTCTTTCTGTTAAAAAAAAAAAAAAAAAAAAAAAAAAACTTCAGTAACTAAACAACTAATTTTAAAAATACAATCATTAAAGGCATACACTATATTAAGTGTGTATGTGTATATACCTCAATCACAAAGCATCTTATACTTCTGAAACTTTACATAAATTAGAAATAAGAATAAAACCAAAAAGTCGGATGGGACACTAAAAGTACCTTTTTTTTTTTTTTTTTTTTTTTTTTTTTTTTTTTTTTGGTCTCCTTCCACAGTCTTGTATAAGTAATATTCTTTTTCTACTTTTTTAATCCTTATCTTTAAACAAAATATTAAATAAACATATATACAGCATTTTACATGTGTGGAATGTCTTATGACTGTTTTTCAAGACGTTAAGTATCATTCAGTTCCCTTCTGTGTAAGATTCCATTATATCAAAGTGAGCCTGCTATTCCTAAAATTAAAGTCATCTGAGAGATCTCATCATAAATACTTACACCGTAACATATCATCATACCCTCTTTTCAGAATTCCGACCAATATGAAATTCTTGCCCAAGCATTCCTATTTCTAGACAGCCTTTGAAACATCAAAACTACCCCTTAATATTAACTAAAAAAAACTTGACTTACAAGGTTAACATTTATGTCTTACAGTACTTGAAAGCATCATAGAGACTAAGCCAATATTAATACAACCTGAAACGCCCTTTCTTAAGCACCAAAATATCTCAAAGACTTACAAGCAGCAAAAAGCTTTTTTACCTCCATACCAGACCATCCTACTTTTTACAGGTATCTAAGAAATGTGCCTGCCCAAGCTGCACAAACCACCTACCAAATAATCCAATGCCTTCCAAAGTGAAAAGCCGATCCTCTTTTCTACTCTTAAATTATTCAAAACTAGCCTATAAAGAATTACTGTAGACTACTTAAGCAAACTTTTCAGACCTGTGTGTGTACCATGTTCCATATTTACCCTACTGTAAATCAGTGATTCCTCCCTATCTAAACTTAATAATAGAGCAAAAAGAGAGCTTTTAAAAAGTTATTTTATTAGAAAAAGAACTTTTAAGTGAATACATAATTTATCTGCGACAGACTAACAACTATACATGATAGTGATTAAACTACTGAATACCCGAATCTTTTAACTTTTTTTTTTTTTTTTGGTTCACAGCCTCTGAATTAGACAACTTTACGGTAGTTTTAATTTTAAGATAATCCACTTTCACTGTTTTACATTTCTCAATTTTAACATAAACTCAATCAAAACTTGAAAAAACTGATTAGTTCTGATCTGCAAGACCCCTACCGCATTAAATCTCTAAAGCAGATATCAACAATAAGTAGTATTACAAGACACAATATTATATATATTCGATTATAGTTCCTGAGTTTTCAAGGACATCAGTAACTTGATTTTAAAAACGAACAAACCATGCTTACACATATGACTGAAGTTTTTCAAGCTGTATTTTACAAAGATTAATTATGGTTTTTGGTTTGTATGCCATAATTACTTTTTAAACTGATCCATTACATTTAAAAATAACTTGTGTGAAATAACCAAGGAAAAGGGGTCAGTCACTTAGAGACACTCAGGATTAAACACATTTTTTAAGGCCAGTATAAATAAAGGTCTGTAACTTGGAATCAAAGAAACAGTTTAAATTCAAAGTAAGCTTAAATGAAAATACAACACAGCGATATCAAAAAAATGTTAAAAAAGCAAAATAGGAACATATTCAGCCTTAACAAAAAAAAAAAAAAAAGAAAACTAAAGTTTAAAATGGAAACTACTTAAATTGAGAAAGAATTCCAATGACATGACATTTTCTTGCCAAAGGGACAGAATTTATAGATTTTATCATTCAAGTCTCATTGTATTACATTATAAAGGTCTTGGCAACGGTTGGCCATTAATCTTTAACACAAAGGAGATTCAAATCCAAATGAACTGTAAGACTATCTCTTCCAGGAGAGAGAAATGGAGTAATTTACTTTATCCACAATTGTTTAACCAAAAAGGAAGGCCTTTAAGGATGATAACGCAGAATGGATCAACCTTCAGTCTACCAAGTCCCATTTCTCACGAAGTCCTGCACCAATCCGAAAAGACCAAGGTTATGGACACAAAACAGGCTTAGGGAAGACTGGGGGGAAAAAAATCTCCAATGAATGACACACCACATCATGATTTTTTTCTCCTACACAATTGGAGAAACAAAAAAGAAAAATATCACAGCATATGTTTTATCGTATCAATTAAAAAAAAATACTTTACGCCAGTACGTTCAATTCTTTTCCTTTGGGGCTGAAAACATAATTGAGCTTCTGTTTTACTGATGATAGAGGAAAGGGAAAAAGCCGCTGCTGCAATGCAACACAGGCTGGTACAGAGGAAGGAGAGCAAAGGGTTTTCCAAACAAACCCCCCGCCCCCGCTTGCACACCCCAAACAACTTACTGATCCCAGCCTCGACTGCCCGCCCCAGTGGAGACCCAAGAAATTCCTTCCCTTCCCCCCGCCCGTGAAATGTCACCTTTCACAGCACCTTCACCGACCCCTACCCGAGACACTTGATTTCCCGCAGAGATTTCAGACCTTTCAAACTTTTCTTCCTTTTTAAATGAAACACGAGAGTTGTGCACGAAAAGCGCATGAAATTTGTACGTCTACACGGAAAAATACCTGTTTCCCAGCAACGCGAACGCTTCGATGGTCGAACCCCTCCCCACCTCCCGGGGTTGTTCCTGCCAGGGCTGGGGGGCCCGGGGGGAGCCCGGCGCCCATTACATTTGGGAAGGGACATCCTGGGAGAGAGAAGAGCATCAGGGGGAAAACGGGGGGACGGCGGGGCGAGACCCCCCCCAACCACCCTCAGAAGCGCCGGCGAGGGTGACAAGAAAGCAAGCGAGATGAGAAGGGACAAAAGGGGGACAGGGGAGGAAGACGCCGGAGACCGGGGCGACGCGCGGGACCGGGAGAGGGAATGCGGGCTCCGGGGACGGCGGGGGTCGCGGCTCCCGCGGCACAATGGCCGGCCCGGCCCCCGCCCGCGCGCCCCTCACCTCATGGTGCCGGCCGCGCCGAGGCTTTCCCGGCAGCCA